TTCCATTGATTTTTTTTTCTATTTTAGAGAGAGTGGAGAGGAGAGAGAGGGGGAGAGAGAGAGACACATTTATGTGAGAGAGACACATCAATTAGTTACCTCCTGCACATACCCCAACAGGGCCAGGGATCAAGCCTGCAACTGAGGTAGATGCCCTTGATTGGGAATTGAACCCAAGACCCTTGGGTCTGCGGGCCGACACTCTAACCACGGAGTAAACCGGCCAGGGCAGCATTATCCCTCTTTTACAACCGAGGGCATGTAAGGACAAGAGGGAGGATGTCACTTGGCTAAAGTCACAGAGCTAGTAAATGGCAAATCCAGAATTCAGTACAGGCATTTTGACTCCGGGCTCTTAATCTCACTTTTCTGATTATGGCTAATAACTAACACTTATTGGGCACTTAATATGTAGTAGGGATCATTGTAAGCATTTTATACAGATTCATTCATTTAATCATTATAGGCATCCTATATAATAGTCACTTAAATGAAAGATGAGGATACTCAGGCACAGGAAGTGTGCTAACCTGTCCTAAATCTACTGCCAGGAGTCTAGTCCAGGCAGGCTGATTTGAGAGCAAACACGAGAGCCAGCACTCGTTAAAAAATAAACCAAAAAGTTTTTTCTTTAAAAAATTAAAGTATAACATACAGAAAAGTACAGAAATAAGTAATATTTAGCTTAATGAATGTTCACTTATGTGAATATGCTATGTAACTAAGTGTAAACATTACCTGTATCCCATAAGACCCCTTTCAGTAACGACTCCCACCCTTTTCCTTAAGAGTAACCTTTATACTGATTTCTAAAATCATAAATTAGTTTTGCCTGTTTTTAAACACACACACACACACACACACACACACACACACATTTCTATTGGGTGTATACCTGGGGGTGGAATGGGTGGTTGTTTCCAAGTAGTTATACAGATTTGTTTTCTGTCTGACAGTCTCCTTACTCCACATCTTGGTTTGGGGCCTAGGACCATGCAAAAGGACTCCGGGAGACCTAGATTCCTCAACTGCCCAAGCTGGAAGGATCTTCACAATTCAGTGAGTTGCCCTCCCCTAGTTTACAGATGGTAAGACGGAAGCTCACGAAGGGGAAGTGGCCACAAAGCTGGCAAGGAGCAGAGCTGGCGGGACTGGAGATATGAAACTGGATCCTGGCCAACCCAACTGCAGATGGACTCTCCTCTCCCCACCCTTCCCCTGCCTGGGTGTCCACTTCTTGAGCTGAACGCCCTAAGGGTTCAGGCTCTGTCCTCTGAACCAGAATTCCTCTATGGGTCTCTGTGGAGATCCTCACGCTCCTGATATGGTCTCTCCAAGAGTGGGGCCCTGCTGGCCAAGGAGGCAGCCATATTAATGTGTCACTGTCCAGCCCACACACCTGGGCTGACTGTGGAGGATGCCATACCTGGGGCCTACATATCAGCTGATATGGAGGGAAGCTGAGGTTCCTACTCAGTGTGGGCACAGGGGGCAGTCCAGGGAAGCCAGGGAGGGGCTGGGAAGCCAAAGTTATGGGGAGGCCTGGGACCCAGTCCTCACGCTAATGCTACCTCTGCTCTGACCCCCTACAGCCAGCTTGCTTCTGTACCATAGTCTTTCATCCTGGGCATTTGTTTGGAATGCTTATGACAGCTATTTTGGAAGGCAGTAAAACATAGAGGTTAGTTACAGACTCTGCCTGGGTTCCCATCCCTGCTCTTCCACTTACTTGCTGTGTGACCTTGAGTTAACTTACATGCCTCTCTGTGTCTCCATTTCTCTATCTTAAAAAGCACTTACTCCACGAGGTTGTTGTGACGTGCATATGAGTGAAGCACTCAGAACCATGTCCAGCATATGCACCTTGAACCTAGGTCCTGTGACTCCAAATCCCATGGCCCTTGTATACAACATCTCCCAGACACCAGCAGGCCTGGGTGGGGGACAGACACGAAACCAGTCCTCCAGGAGCTTTCAGTCCAGTGGGGGAGACACAAGTCCTGCTACCAAGGGATCTCCAGCCATGTGGAGAAGTTAGAGTTTCCAGAAGAGAGGGGTAGGAAGGAACAAACACTCAGTGCCTACTGTGTGCTGGGTAACTTGCCCAGGCCACTATTTCTCTCCCCTCTCCACCCTTCTTTCTCTCTTATTGCAAAGTCCCATCTTCCAGGTTAGGACTGTAATGTTCAGAGAGCATAAGTAACTTGTTTTAGGTTCCCCAGTGAATCCAGTGGCAAAGCTGGGATTAGAATCCAGGTCACCTTATGCTAACATGGAAGACCATGTCACCTTGGCTCAAGTTCATCTCCTCCATGAAGTCTCTCCATGTCCTGGATGTGGAATGAACCACTTGTGCCTCTAGGTTCCCATCGTGCCCCACAGAAATGCCCCCAGGGCACCTGCACACTTCTTAGACTTATTTTATTTATGTACCTGTCTCCCTTCACTAGGCACTGAGCTCCTTGAGAGCAAGGAGTGATCGTGGCCATCTCTGAGTCCCCTGTACATCCTGAATATAGCACAAAGTCCGTGCACAATGGCTGTTTCATAAATATGTGTTGCATGAATGATGGGAGGTGATCGGAAGGTCTCATGGCCATTTTCCTGCCTCCTTGGAATTATTCCAGACAGTGATAGGGGGGCATCAGAGGATGGATTGAGGGGTGGGGCTGGGGTAGAGGTGTGAACATCTGTCTCACCTGAAACCTTTCCAGTTCCCCACACTCATCTACACTCATGCTTCATCTCCAGGCATTTCTCTGGGCTCGCTCCAGTCTCTCCTGCAGGCCTTCCTCATGTTCGGCAGCGCTATCTTTCCCAGCACCTTTGCTGTCTAGAGGTCAAGTCTGGCATTGAGATCAGAACCATCCCTTCTGGTCCCATTTTATTCTCATAAGAGCTTAAGAGGTAGAGTAAGTGGAAGTGGCCTGTCTTCATTTTATAGGACTTTCAAGCTCCAGGAGGCTGGTGTCCAAGTTCATACAATAAGTTGATGGCAGAACTGGGCCCAGTATGATGTAGGAGGGGAACAGGGCTTAGGGCAGTTTTCTGAATCAGGGACAGGCTGGGCTTCCCCCCAGGACTTGAGGGACCTGGCTCTGGGACACAAGAGACCCCAGCTGGTCTGTGAAATGGCATGGAGAGAATCCTAGAACCTTTTTAAAATATATATATTTTTATTGATTTCAGAGAGGAAGGGAGAGGGAGGGAGAGATAGAAACATCAATGATGGGAGAGAATCATTGATCGGCTGCCTCCTGCACACCCCCAACTGGGGATTCGGCCTGCAACCCAGGCATGTGCCCTTGGCCGGAATCGAACCTGGGACCCTTCAGTTCATAGACAACGCTCTATCCACTGAGCCAAACCAGCTAGGGCTTTTTATTTAAAAAAAAATTTATTTTTCAATTACAATGGAGACTCCTAGACTCTTGCCCCTGGCCAGAACTCGCCAGGCCTTCTGCAGTCTTGATGGTTGCCAGTAGGTGCCGACAGTTTGCAACTTTTGGTTCTGTCCCTACAGTTCCAGCTTCCAGTTGCTTTCTTCCTCCTATCACCTGGACAGTCTGCACTTGCACCAAGTAGGAGAGGGTGCAATCCCCGTGAGACTGAAAGACCCCTGTTCTGGGAGAGGAAGCAGGAAGAGGGTCTCTGATTTGCATTTCAGCTTGGCTGCCCCTGCAGCTTTCTAGGCAAAATAATAATACAGTGGGGCCTTGACTTACGAGTGTCCCGACTAACGAGTTTTTTGAGATACCAGCTGTCTCTCAGCCGATTTTTTGCATTGAGTTGATAGAGTAATTTGAGTTAATGAGCTCCTTAACGAGCTCCTTAAGGAGCTCGTCTCCGAACGAATTAAACTCGTAAGTCAAGGCCCCACTGTAATAATAATAATAATAATAATAATAATAATAATAAAATCCACAGTGGGTCACCGATTATGCCTGGGCAGGAGCCTTATCCTGAAGCTAGCTCCAGGAGAGCAGAATCGTTTGGGGGGTTAGGGGGGGGGAGTACCAGGGGACCTGAGAGAGAACCTAGGAGATGGGTCCCTGCTCCAAATGTCACCCTGGTGGACCTTCCAATCAGCAGGATTGAGGCAAGGGTGAGGGACACAGGCATCAACAGGATCACACAAAGGGCCTAGCCAACCCCAAATAGCAACACCGGATGAATGAGTAAAAGGCGCCCCTTCCTCAAAACCCTATACAAATCTACAAAGACTGCAAGAGAAATGGTGCCCTCTGGAGTTGTGCATTGCACAATTTGTATGCACACAGAGTGGCAATCTCCCAAGCCACTCCCCCCCCACCCCCCCAGGAGTGGGTCTGGGCAGTAAAAGCAAATATCCGGGAGGGAGGAAGAGGCTGGCACCTCCCTCCCCAGTTCAGTGATTCCACTGGGGAAGGCAGAGGGGACCAGGACCCACATGCACCTTGGGAGACGGGCAGAGGAAGGGGGTTGGAAGGGGCAAGTGTGAAGAGAGTCTACTAAGGTCTTAGGGCCATGAGGCCCTTCTAGGCCCCTCGTTGTGTGCCTGTACTTCTCCCCCCACCTCACCCGACTGGCTGAGACTGGAAGCACTGGGGTAGGGTGGGAAGGACTGGCCAGGGAGACGGAATCCGCGGAGCCCACCCGGAGTCGGAGACCATGGGGTGTGCTCTCAGTGGGGGGCCTGGGGCCACCTCTGTGGGTCGGGATGAATCCTCCAAGGTTGGGGGAGGGGGCCTCTTCGCTTCTCCATCTCCCTCCTCTCCCCTCCCGGGCTCTGGTTCTGCGGCGCTCTCGGCGGCGCCTATCAGGGCTTCCCAACTGCGCCGCTTCCTTCTTGGGCAGAAAAGGACTTTCAGCTGCAGCCGAGGCGGCGGCGGGGACTCAGGAGAGCGCCCCCTCCCCCTAACGGCCGCCTCTCCCGCTCCCTCTCGCCCTCCCTCCCTCGCCCGATCCCCCACCTCTGGGAAGGCGCTGGGGGTGTGGCCAGAGGCTGCTATAAAGTCCGGGGTAGCCGTCCCGGGCCGCCGCTCTGTCCCTTACCCCCCCGCCTTCTGGACCCGGCCGAGGATGCTGCGCAGCGCCTCGGTGGCCAGGATCGCTCCTCTCCAGCCCGCTTGCTAACTTCCCCGGCTCCTTCTCTGTCCGCCAGCGGGGCCGCCCCGTCTCCCCACGCTCTCCCGGTCCGGTCCGGGCGCTGCTTCCGTGTGCCCCCCGCTGCCCGCCCGCGCGCCCGCGCTCTCTGCCCGCACCTGGCGCCAGCGCCCCGTCCTCGCCCGATCATGCTGCCCCTCTGCCTCGTGGCCGCGCTGCTGCTGGCCGCCTGGCCCGGGCCGAGCCTGGGAGACGAAGCCATCCACTGCCCAGCCTGCTCCGAGGAGAAGCTGGCTCGCTGCCGCCCCCCCGTGGGCTGCGAGGAGCTGGTGCGTGAGCCCGGCTGCGGCTGTTGTGCCACTTGCGCCCTGGGCAAGGGGATGCCCTGCGGGGTGTACACCCCCCGCTGCGGCTCGGGCCTGCGCTGCTACCCGCCCCGGGGAGTGGAGAAGCCCCTGCACACACTGATGCACGGGCAAGGCGTGTGCATGGAACAGGCGGAGATCGAGGCCATCCAGGAAAGCCTGCAGCCCACTGGTAAGGGGGCTCTGCCCTTGCACGTCCTCCCTGGTGTGCGGCCCTCCCAGAAGCCCCTTTCCCAATAGGGCTGGCCCGGGAGGTCCTTGAAAATCCCCCGTGAGTTGAGGAGAAGTCAGGTACGTGGCAGGGCCCTCCTGGCATGGGACAGGCTCAGCCAAGCCAACTGCTATCCAGTCTCTAACAGCCTATTGCCACTGTCAAGGAGGACTGTCCCATCCCTCCATCTCAAACCTCCCAAGGATGCCTACTTGGGAAGAGTAGTATTGGCTGCTGGTGCAAGAGTGGAAAATTAAGTGACCTGGGCCAGCCCACAGCCTGCAAGTGAGCCAGATAACTGGAGGATGGGGGTGGGGGGCGGGGGGAGCTTCCTGCTGCTGATCCCCGCACCACAGGGGTCTGAAAAACCAGAGCTTGGACTTTTGACATTGAGGTGGGAGGACTGGGACATGCATTCGAGAGGGGCTTTGGTGGTGAGGGGCAGCGGAGTTGCCCTTCCCCAAAGCCCCCGGCCAGCTCACCTAGCCGTTTGGGGGGGTACTGGGAAGTCAGGGGTCTCTCTGCCGGGCCTGGGCACTTCCTCCTGCCCTGGTCCACAGGCAACCCTCTTTTTTCTCTCGGCAGGTGCCATCTGAGGTGGCAGAAAGAAGCAAGTCTGGGCTCCCAGCCCAGAGCTGCAGAAACCTAACGGGTGTGGGCTAGAGAGTAAAGAAGAGAGAGAGGGAGACAGACTTAGAAGGCCCTTTGCCTTAAACTCTTTCTTATCCTTTCTCTTTCCCATTTCTCAGTGAGCCTCTCAGTTGCTCCTTCTAATCTTAGTCTCTTTTCCTTCTTTCTCTTTGTTCTTTCCTGCTGTGTCTTTCCGCCTCTAGTTTCACAGGCAACCTTCTGGAGTTCTCCTTCCCCCAATATCTTCTGGCCACCATCAATTTCTTTCTCTTTCTCTGTCTTCTTACCCTTTTCTGTTTCCGTTGTCCTGCTTCTCACTCTCATCTCAGTCTCTTTCTGTGTCCCTGTCTCTCTTTCTTTGTTCCTGTCTTTCTGTTACTTTTGGAATCTCTCTCTCGGCCTGCCTTTCCGTATGTCTGCTTTTGTATTTTGTTCCCTCTCTGACTCTGTTTTGCTCTCCCTGTGCCTCTCTGTCTGTCTGTCTCTTTTCCTGGTGTTTGAAGCTTCCATTGTTGCAGTCCGGATGCTGGGACTCTGGCCCCAAGCTTCCTGCCCTGGGTCCCAGACCGCTCCACTTCCTCAATCCTCTGCAGCTTGTTAGCTGGAGGAGAGCAGGACGCAGGGAAAACAGGAAGGAGGTGGACCCCAGGGGTCTGGGCTTCAGGCCTGGCTGCCCTTCCTGCCCCTGGGCAACAAGAGATGGGTCAGCAGAAAACATTCTAGGAGAAATGCCAGCCTGGCACCCAGCACATCTGGGAAGGGGGGCAGCCCTTGGGGGAATACGTCGCTGATCATGGGGGCAGAGATGCCAGTGCCAGTGGGAGAGGAGGGGTGCTGGTACCAGACCAGACTGGGAGTGAGAGCTGAGCCCTTGGGCTCCCTGAGTCTAACAGGACCACATTCTCTTTGTGTCTCCCTCCTCCACCAGCCAGCGGCCAGCTGGCAACTGATGAGGATGGGTGGTAGCCTCCTCCTCTCTCACCAACTTGAACAGGGGGCAGAAGAACCTCAGAGGGTCTTGGGCACCCGTTTTCCTTGGCTGGGAAGGAGCACCCCATCCTGTAGTGGAGAAAAATCCATGTCCCTGGGAGCTTTGGAGAGGCATGAGCAGTGTAATTGTCCTGTGGCTATTATGCAAACCCGCCTCCCAGGGTGGCTTTAGGTCCCCTTTGGATTACAGGGCCCTGGTCTCTAACACCCCCACCCCTCCTTCCTTGCCTGTCCTCCACCCACGCAGTGCATGCACCATCCGGAGAGGGACAGGCTAAGTCTGGGGGACCCTGGGGAAACTAGGCACCTTCTTGGCAAGCTGTGTCCCTGCCCTCTTACCTCCCAGTCATCACAGAAGTACCCTCTGCCACAGCCTGGGCCGCACAGCACCACGGGAAAGGCGCCCCCTAGAGTTGTGCAGCAGCCCTGCAAGGTCTCTGGCGAGACAGTGTTCAGGGCTTGGCCCCTGTCTCTACTATTCTCTTTGGCTTCCCACTGACAATAGGCCACTGTCCCTCCTACGTCCCAAGGCTTGGGGACCTAAGCCTCTTCTCTCTGCCTTTTCCTCTTGGGGCTCAGCTTCAGCAAGTGACTGAGGGAGGGCAGTCACTATGGCCCAGTTGCCTACTATTTGCCCCGGGGCAGGCCCCCCCTCCACCTCCAGGCTCCCCCACCTTCCTGTCCTAGCTTTTTGAGCCAGAACAGGTTGTGGGTTAATACCACTCAGGCCACCAGAAGTGGGGATGGGGTGGACAAATGCGTCAGAAATCCACAATTCCGCATAAGTGCGCTGACCCTGGATTCATGGAATCGGGGGGAGTGGACAGTGGCATCGGCGTTTGGACTGGGGAGTTGCTCTGGGACAGGGTTAGGGAACAGGCAGCCAGGTTAATTTTTAGTCAACACAGCAAACACTGTCCCCCCCTACTGCAGTACTGGGAATCCAGTGGTGTCATGGGAACAGGGCCTTCCCAGAAATTCTGTGCCTTTGTGGGAGGGAGGGAGGGAGGAGGAGCGTAGCTGCTAAATATGATTACTTTTTTTTAGTATTGGGAAAGCGAGAATTATTGGTGCCTTGGGTACCAGGAGTCTTTCTGTTTACAGACATAGGAGCTGTAGAGATAAATCCCTCCTCCTTCCCTTCCACCCAGTCTACAGTAGGCCCTGCCTCACAGGGTGGGATGTCTGGCGTGGAGTAAGAGCTCAGTAAAGTGGAACAGTGATGAAGATGGTGATGAAGAGGACGCTGAATGGATTTAACTTGAAGCTTAAATCCTCCTCTGATGTTGGGGTTTTGGGGGACAGTAGGCAACGGAATAAAGCTGGGGGACATGCAGAGGAGTTGAGAGGTAGGGCAGATTTTGATGCCTTTTCCTGCTGTAAACACGGGAGGAACAGGCCAGCTGTCCTTGTCTCTGACTCTTGAGGCCAGCAGTGTGTCACAACAGTGAGGGAGACACCCTTTGAGCCAGAACTCAAAGAAAGGGTCTGGTACCCAACATGGTGGTCTTGACTTCTCCAGCCAGAGTCCAGGGGAAGAAGGAAAAGGCCTTCCAGGGCAGGTGGGTGACCTTCCAGGTCATGCCTGGAACCCACCCACCTCACAGTCTCACTCTGGGTGTCTTGAGTGGGGCAGGGGCTGGAGTTGAGGAGGAATCATGGGGATGAAATCAGGCAGCAAGAAAGAGGAAATCCTCTAGCTTTGACCATGAACTTTGCAGCCAGTAGTGCCAAAGCTGTGAAGCCTCTTCTTTCTCTGGGTGCCTTCCCTCCCTCTGTTGCTGGAGCAAAAACCAAGGTTTCCCCTGTGGCTGCGTGTCATTGGCCTCGCTCCAAGCAGGAGCTGGAGGAGATGACCTAGTCTACCTTGGAAACCCCATCTCCCAAGCAAGCCTTCAGGAATTCAGGAGGTCAGATCTTTCAGGGGGCTAGGTCTGACTCCAGCCCCTGCTCAGAGGGGAGCCCACCAGGATTGGGGTTTTCCAGATGGCACCACCTGGGTGAGCAGCACCAGGTGGCCAGTTTTGGAGGTTCGACGGTTCACGTTTTTTCAGAGACTCAACGCCATGACACTCACCCTCCCAAGCCAGGTGCCGTGGGGTGGGCCCTGGGGTGGGTACTTGGTGTGATGGGCAAGGAAAAGTTACAGATGAAATGAAAAGTCAACAAGCTAGAGTATAGCCAGTGTGCCCTGCCCTAGGTCTGTGTCTGTCCAGGCTGGGTCAGAGTGCCTGAGTGCATGTAGGTGTGCACACGTGGACAAGTGTGTGTCTAGACACGTGATTGTTTGTATATGTTTGTAATTCTTGAGTTCCGGCCTCTCTGTGTTTGAGTGGGCAGATAGGGACATAGTCCAGGTACCTATGTCCCCATGAGAGACACTAAGGAGCTGCTCTCCCTGTCTTGGTGTGTTCTTCTCTAAGCTTACACACAAGCTAGGCACACGTGTGCTGGGTGGTGGGGAAACAAAAAATGGGGAGACCAGGCATGCTGCCTGCCCATCTTCCCCAGGTAACCTCTATGTGACATGGGGCCCTCCCAACACAAGAACATAAGCCATGCTCCTAGGCTCCACGCAGCCCCAGATTTCAGTGAGTGGACCCAGTTGTCCTTAATGATACCGCTCAAGTTAAGGTATACACATTTCCAAATATCCACTAATAATCCCTCAAGCATTGGTCATTGGTGGACTTCGACTCACAGAATTTCAGCATTGGAAAGCCTGGTTGCAGTTGAACTTCTACTCCAGATGTCTCTAGATTCTTGAGGCCTCAACCACTCGGACGCTCCACACCTTAGGGCCGTGGGGCTCTCGACCTCCTGAGACAGCCCCATTCGTAGAAAACCCTTCCTTACCCCTTGAACCTAAGAACATTCTGCCCATTTACCAAGCGGAATAAGTATCACTGCAAAGTAGCCCTTTCCTTGATGGCCATGAAAAGAAAACACATTCAAAGGAAAGACAATACAACCCTTCCAGGTTGGAAGGGCACTCGAGTTGGTGTTACAAACGAGTCCCCTCTGGACTGTCCTTCTTGGGATGTTAAGAATGCTGGAGGATGGGGTATATCTCTCTGCTCTATTTATTTCTTCCCTCCGATTCCTCTTTCTAAGCCAGCCCTCTACTCATGACAGAGCCTTCTTTCCATCCTTGGTGACTCAATTTTATAAATAGCCATTGGTGTGGAATCTTGACAAAGACTTTCTGAGGGTCTCGATTCTTCCTTGCTTGGTTTTCCTTTATCCGCATGTCTCTCCCCACACTCCCAGGACTAGGAGAATAAAAAGAGAGCTGGCCTCCCCCTTCTACCCCCAACTCACTCTGGCCAGGCAGAAAAATACCATTTGACCCAGAGGCAGCTCTGGGACCACTGCCATACTTGGAGGAACCTGCTAACTCCTCAGGAAAAAAAGAAAAAAAAATCCTGACACAAACCAGATGTAACTGTCTGCCTGGTCACCAACATCTGGAATGCTGGCAGGGGCTTTGCACTCAGGCCGGCCGAGAGCTGCCAAGCCGGGCATTTCGGAGGAGGCTCTGATCTGTGACCCCTTTCTCCAGCTCAGCCCTGTTGTCTGCATTTGGCTGCCTGGAGGGAGAAGCAGCAGTTGCAATTGGGTTTTTCTTGAGTTCAGATAGAGTCTTCATGAGATCCCAGGGAGGGGTGCAGGCCCAGCCTTTCCACCCCCATCTCCAGATCCCCAGTGCCCTGACTGGGCAACAGACATGGCCTTTGAATGGGGTCTGAAGTCTAAGGTAGGGGATTGAAGGGATGGGGAAGGTATTCTCTTGGTCCTAGGGCCACACGGAGCATTACACAAGTGTACACACACTTGTACACGCAGGCATACACACCCACTCCCACTTTTCTCCTGTTCAGCCAATGGGGAGAGCTTGTTGGGTTGGATTTCTCATCACTCATGGAAACTTTCTGGCCATTTGGAAGCGGGTCAGCTGGGCCGACAGCCCTCGGGATCCTGTGGCTGGCTCAGCCAGACGCTGAAAAGAGCAGGAAAGGAGACAGGAAGAGAGAGCAGATGGAGAGGGGGGTGGGAGGAGGAGCTGACTAGAAGGAGAAAAGATCCGGTGGGGGCGCCCCTGCCTGCTTCAGACCTCCCAGCAGAGCCCAGGGGAACCTCCTGTCTGGGCAGCTGCAGCTGGTGACTCATCTGAGCGCCCGACTGGGTGGGGTGAGGGGCAAGTCAAGGACTTCAAGAAGAATAGCCTCCTGAGGAGTTCCAGGGGAGTGGGAAGGAGATGGGAGTGCTGTTTTGACTTTTTCCCGCTCCTAGACCCCCACGCTTCCCGTGTCAGGCTGGAGAACCCCCAAGAAGCAGAAAGCAGGTGGGAGGCTGGGTTGGTGTGCTGCTCTGTCTTTTCCCAGTGCTGACCTCTCCCCGTCTTGGCCTGATTGCAGACAAGGATGAGGGTGACCACCCCAACAACAGCTTCAGCCCCTGCAGTGCGCATGACCGCAAGTGCCTGCAGAAGCACTTCGCCAAAATTCGAGACCGCAACACCAATGGGGGCAAGATGAAGGTCATCGGGGCTCCCCGGGAGGAAGCCCGGCCTATGGTGAGGACCTCTGACCTCAAATGCACATGTTCACAGACACACACACCACCACCACCACCACCACCACCACATCTTGGCCTATGTTTATCCGGTAAACATTCTTTGGATGCCTACGGGGTAGAGTATACATTGTCAGGATCCAGTCCTCATTCCTTTCCTTTAAATTCCATTCCTGCTTGGTAGTTCTCTATATTGGTACAGCTGAAGTGGTTTTTAAATACTGAAATACTTCTATCCTGGTTGGTAACTCATGGTTGCCCCAAGCTTCCTGATATTTCTTGGCCCTTCTCTGGGATTCCCCACCCGAGACCTTCTCAATCTCTAAAGGGTTAACGCTGGCCATAGCAGGGGGCCTTGGGACCCTGTTCCGGAGTCTGGCAAATGTCCTGTCTGACGGATGGTTCTGATGGCTCCGTTCCTGGATCTTACACATTGTTGATGGCATGATTTCATTCATCCCTCCTGCTTAGAAATCACCCCCTTCCAGGCCTCCTCCAGAGGTTTCTACAGCTCCTTCCCCATGGGGTCCCGTCACTTCACACCTCTCCTTTGTAGAAGCTCTTTGGCCCAAGATCCTGTCTTCAATGTCCCTCTACTCTTCCCACCAATGTCTGCAGAACCCAAGCCATGCCCTTCACCTCCCTGGGCCCTGACCCTGACCTCTGGGCTTTGACCCTCCTTTCAAGGCCTTCAGTCCTGAGATGACCCCCATTCCTGGTTCTCCTGCCCCTCTTCTCTTCTGCTGAGCAGTTTCACCCTCTCTCTCTCCTCCAGCCCCAGGGCGCCTGCCAGAGTGAGCTGCACCGGGCCCTGGAGCGGCTGGCTGCCTCCCAGAGCCGCACCCACGAGGACCTCTACATCATCCCCATCCCCAACTGCGACCGCAACGGCAACTTCCACCCCAAGCAGGTGGGTCACCGTCTCTCTCCTGCTGGGCCCTGGCCTCAGCGCCAGGGGCATGAGACAGGGTCATGCACGATAAATGTCTCAGGAAGGGGAGGCTCCCCACACCCTAGGATCCTCCCCAAACCTTCCCCCCAGCTTTAGGACCTCAGCTCATGTGCCCACATCACTCATTTTGGGATGAGGAGCCTGAGGCCCAAAGTCACAGAACAAGTTAATGGCAGACTAACTATCCTGCTTCCCCATCCAGGACTATTTGCATCTCTTGATTCACAATCTGAGACGTTCACCTGGTGTTCCTGCCAACCTCTGCCTCCCATCACGTTCTCACTCGCCCTACTCCCTTCCTATGAGTAGTTCTCCTTCGTCCTCGAATGTCTGTCTCCCCTGGAAATGGAAGGACTAAGTCATGAGGGGTTAGGAAGGGAGGAAACTGCCTGACCCTTACCCCAAGTTGAGTAGCAAACCACTTGGGGTACCGCCAGGATGGAGATGATGCTGGATCTGACAGCTGGAGTTAGGGGCTTCAAGTGGAAGCAGAGGAAGGAGGTAGGCAGAAGAGAAGACATGAATGTAGAAACCTCTGTGCCCCTCATACCCTTGGAACATGGGTTCCTCTGACAAGCCACCAGGAAGCTGGGATGTTCAAGAAGGCTGGCCTGCTCCAGCCCCATCTCTGGCCTGTCAGAGTTGGGCCCACATGGAAGGGTGGCATATCTGGGCGAGCACTGGGGTGCCTCGTGTTGGGTGTTCCCTGGGGAGCCCTGGCCTGGATCTCCTTCTCCAGCCCCTTGTGGGCATAGACACACACATCCTCACACTTCACGCTGTATGATAAATCCTCAAAGTGGGCTGCCGTGCAGCCAGCAGAGGCCTAGCTAGGAGAAGAAAGGCTGCCCTTGAGTCTACATATCCCAGAATGGCCTGAGGATGTTATGAGTGGTGTGCAGTGCGTTGGGAATCAATGAGCCCCCCTTAAACCAATGCCAAACCTATCTCCAACACCAATGTTTTTTGGTCCCAATTTTTAAAATCTTTTTTTCCCTAACTAAAAAAGCGGTCATAAACTCTGTTAGAGAAGTTTTAGGTTTACAGAAAATTGAGCAGGAAGTGCAGAGTTCTCATCTACTCCCCCACACCCAGTTTCCCCTATTACTATCTTGCATTAGTGTGGTACATTTGTTATAATTGAGGAACTAATACTGATACATTATTAGTAACTAATCCATAGTTTACATTAGGTTTCATTCTTTGTGTTGACAGTTCTATGGGTTTTCTTCCCCTAATTATTTTTCCTACTGAAAGTTTTGACCCTTGACCCTTGATCCCCAGACTAAATTTGACCCTTGAGACGACCTTCACTTCAACTTTAATCCTGACTCTTAAATACACCTTTGCCCCTGCCTTCCCTATCCACCCGCCTCGCCTTCCTGTTCTAATCCTGACCCAAACTTGAGCCCAACTGCTTTAGTTGTTCTAACTTTGACCTCTATATCCCAACTCTATTTCTGACCTGGGCTCTGAGACTCACCCAACTCAAGTTTTAGTTATAATTCCCAATTCAACTGCAATTCATATCCTAATGCTACCTTAACTTCAACTTGGATCCCGCTATTACCCATAATCCTATTCTTTTAAAAAAATACATATTTTTATTGATTTCAGAAAGGAAGGAGAGGAGAGAGAGATAGAAACATCAATGATGAGAGAGAATCATTGATTGGCTGCCTTCCGAATGCCCCCACCAGGGATGGAGCCCACAACCTGGGCATGTGCCCTGACCGAGAATCGAACCCCATGAACTCCGGGTTCATAGGTTGATGCTCAACCACTGATCCACACCAGCCGGGCTTTAATCCCATTCTTAAAAGTCCCAACCTAATGGGAACACACTCAAAACATCTCCGACCTGTATACCTTAGTCTTTCAAATCCAGCTTCACCTCTAAATTCGATGGATCCAGTCTCCCCGCTAGGAAGGCCATAGAACTTCCTCAGGGCCCTGCCTTTGAAAACTCTCTGGGCCTTTCCTTCTTGGCCAAGTTCTCTCTCTACTCCAGCGAGCTCAGAAGATTTGTGCTCATGAGAGAGCGTCTGGCCTCAGGGGCCATCTTGGAGCAATTGTCTGATTTGGGGACCCGGCTGGGATTGGGGCCCAGCTGACTGACCTCTCATGCCCTTGTCTTGACAGTGCCACCCGGCCCTGGATGGGCAGCGTGGCAAGTGCTGGTGTGTGGACCGGAAGACAGGAGTGAAGCTTCCGGGGGGCCTGGAGCCGAAGGAGGAGCTGGACTGCCACCAGTTGGCTGACAGCTTCCGCGAGTGAGCCCTACCAGCAGGCAGGGGGCTCCCTGCCCCCTGCCCCCCCTTCCCCTGGAGGCTGCAGAGCTGACCTGGAGCCTGGATCTGAGTCCTGGCTCTGCCTCCGGCCCAGAAGTTTTCCTCAGCATGTGTGTGGCGTGTGTGTGTTGATGAGCATGGATGTACCCGTGGGGTGAGCCGGAGCCTCGGGGTGTCCTCTTTGGGCTTAGATAGCCTAAGAGGTCAGAGTGGCAACGGGGAGCCCTGGTGTGTTTCCAAATTGACCCTGGATTCATTCATTCTTTTATTCATTCAGCCATCTAAAACATTTACTGGCTACATATTACATGCCAGCTCTAGTTCTCAGCCCGGGGTGGGGGCACCCTTATTCTGACTTCCTCTGATTTGGACATTGGGCCCACCTCCTACAAGGTGAACACAAGCCTGTGGGAGAAGAGAAGTCCCATGCCCATAATCTGAGGAGGAAAGTAGACATGTACCTTGACCATTGTCCCTCCCTCAATCTAGTGGTAGAGCGGAGGCCACAGGGAAGGTGTGGGGTAGCAGATGGCTCAATGGTCAGGAGACCGGACCCAAAGCTAAGGGCTGCCAGGCTCCTCTTCTCTTCGTCCCCAGGCCCTCCAAGGGCAAGGACCTGCAGAGACAAGCCTACTTTGGGGTTGGGGGTAATGCCATCTGCTTGATTGCCTGGCAGCGGATCCCTGCTGTGGAGGAGGTAAGAGGGTCCTAGGAAGGCCTGCAAGACAGAGGGGTGGGGTGGTGGGGCCCCTGTCTGCGCAGTCAGGGTGGAGGAAAGAATGTGTAATTGGAATGTGTGTGCCTGATGGAGGAAAGGACCAGCATAATGGGATTGGGGGGAAGTGAGGGACTTGCCTGGGGGTCCTGTTTCCTTCCATTTGTAGTCAGAGCCGTGAAATCACCAGGATGACTCCATCTGGCTCACAGCTTGGCCTCTGCCTCCTGCTCCACACCTCCTTTCCTACAGCTCCCGCCCCATACCCTGCCCCCGGGGCATTTTCTGGCTTGCTGGATGGAAGGAGACTTAGGGACCTACCAGTTGGCCATGATGTCTTTCTTTTTTTTTTTTTTTAACAAAACAAAACAAAAAACAATACAATGGTGTTTTGCTTATTTATTTAAATTAGAGACAGGGATGTACCAGGGATGGGAGGACTATCCACATGGTAGAAGGACCCTAAGACTCAGCCAATTCACCATCCTCTCCCTGCAGCCTCTTCCCGAGGGGCCTCCCTGCCCCTCAAGTCTGCGCTCTGTGTTCAGACTCCGGGTGGGGAAATACTGGCTTCCAAACAGAGGGAGGGAGCCGGACAGCCCTGCTGGGCCAGAGCTATTCCTGGGAGCAGCTGGTGTATGAAACTGGGGCATTTCCTAGGGCATCAGGCCGGTTGGGTTTGCATCTGGATTTGATTTATTAATTTGGGGGCGGGGGAGGCGCTGACCTGAAGCTTGGGAAAGGGGTAAACTTTCCACCACATTCCACAGCTCTGCCTGCCTGGATTCCTGATTGGGGGTTGTGCTGAGATTTGATTCTGATGGGTCGAGGGGTCAAGAGTGGGGGCATCTTTGATCTTGCTGTTCTGGGCACACCAGGCGGTGGGCTTTTGGTGGCAGCCCCCAAGTGTGTGCCCACGTGGTGCGATTGGATTCCTGGTCATTTCCTAATGTCCCTCCCCTCCCGGACCTCTGTGCCAGGCACTGATTTCTTTTTAAAAAATATATTTTATTGATTCCAGAGAGGAATGGGGAGGGAGAGAGAGATAGAAACATCAACGATGAGAGAATCATAGATCGGCTGCCTCCTGCATGCCCCCTACTGGGGATCGAGCCCGCAACCCAGGCATGTGCTCCTGGCCAGAATCGAATTCGGGACCCTTCAGTCCGCAGGCCCACACTCTATCCACTGAGCCAAACCAGCCAGGGCCAGGCACTGATTTCTTGGGTGGAGGTCCCTTTCTGGGAGTTCACAGGCAGCCCGGGACCCTGTGCACCAAGCTGCTGCACTCTGGGGGAGCGCCCTCCTGTCTGATCTGGCCTCTGGGGGCGCACCCTCCTGTCTGGCCAGCTCCTGGATTCCTAGGCCCTCCCCAGTTCCAGAGGTGCTGCCAAGCCTCTGATGTGCTGGCACCTGTGCTGTCTGCATTTTGAGTCTGGGGCTGCAGACCCCCCTTGTGGGGCCAAGGCCAACGCATGTTGGGGTAGAAGGTGGGTGTAGGCTGCCGATCAAGTTCTAGGTCCCTAAACCAAACGCAGGAAAAGTTTCTCTTTTGATCCCTGAAGTATCTCTTTAAATGCTCCAGCCTCGCACCCTTGGCCATGGGTGGTAGGGGGTCCTTTTCCTTTCACGGGCCTCTGGAAAGAGCAGGGTCTGCTTAGGAAGTAGCTGCATACATGGCCTGGGTGTGCCTCTGTGATACATGTATATTGATGGTGTGTGTGTGCGCGCACGTGCACGTGTGCGCACATGTGTGTGAATATAGCAAAGTGATACCTGAAATGTGAGAGTGTGGGCTTTTACAGGGCACATATACCTGGTCTGGGTGTGTATGGATGAGTGCATTTGTGTGGTGTGTCCATATGTGGGCTGCTCCATGAATCTGAATGAATGTGTGTGAGGTGAGGAGAGAGGGAATAAGAAATTCTGGTATGTACTTCCCTCCTGGCTGTGAAGGAGTGACCCTCGCTCACTAGGCGTCCCCTGCAGGGCTTGGGAGGAGCTGCCTGGCATCAGAGACTAGAGGATGTGCACTGGGGTGGGGGCGTTCCACGCCTCACAGGAACACCCCCACCCCAACCCTGGCACTCGCCCCCATGATCCAAGAGCCAGGTCCTAGGTGTCAAAAAAGGAGGAAATAGGGCAGCTCAGTGTCCACGGGGACACTCCTCTGGGCAGAGTGAACGGTTTGGGCAGTGTCACCGTGGGAGAAGCGGGCTCCAGAGAGGACTTGCCGGCCTGGTTTGCACTAGGCTCTCCCACCCTAGATTCCAGAAACTCTTCAAATGGTCACTCTAGTTGCCACAAGGGCATCAGCATCTCTGGCAGAGGTAGAAAGGAGGAGATGGCAAGGACCACACTATTATGTCCTGGTGGGGCCACCATACCTGGATAAACTTAAAACCACAGCCCTCAGTGCTCTGTCCTGCTCCCCATCCCCCCCGCCAAAATGTTGTCGTCCCCCCCTCCCCCACTGTGGCTTGGAGCAGGAGGATGGGGGCCATCTTGCCAGGATTAGGCCATAGGTAGGTGCCGAGCCACATCAGGCATTTGGTTTCCATTTCCCAGCTCATTAGCGGCGACCCAGCCCTGATGTGGGCTGGAGGTGGGGGGCTGGGTTTTCCATTGGCCAGAAGGCTGGGTGGGAGTAGGAAGAAAAAAATGGAGCCTTGGACTGACTCTGGTATTGGATTCAGGTGGGGAAATCGCTGGAGAGCTGGCCAAGCCTCCCGGCCCCTCCTCCTATCAGGGCCCCAAGGTTCCAGCCACTGCCAAGGCTCCAACTCCTTCCAGGAAAAGGCTGCTCCGACCAGCCTCTCCGCTCTCGGGGGCCAGATTCCCCCAAGCTGCTCCAGGAATGTTCTGAAGCACGCAGGACTTGGGGCGCCTGCTTGCCCCCGCCCCGTCCTGAGGGAGTGGGGGAGATGGGGAAGGAGGAGATCTGGCTGTGTGGTAAATGACCCTGGAACATTCCCAGCCAGAGAAACGCCCCCTGCATTCTAGACCCCTATGTCAATGTCACCTCTGACCTAAAGAAAGTCAAGATGATGTGGTTGGATGGAGCTGGGAGGTAGGCTGGCGGCTGGAATGTTGGGTGGTCCCAGGGAAGAGGGGGGGCGAGGGGCCCTGCTTATGAGTCAGGGGAAAGGGTCAAGGGGGAGGGGGAGTTAATGGAAACAGTAAGTAGAGGAGAGACAATGGGGCACTTTTGGGCACACCCCCGGGGAGCAGACACCACTCCAGCCAGCCAAGGGTCTAATTAGATCTTCACTGTCAGAGTGACCCATCCCTTCTGTGTCTGAGGCCCCAGGGGTTGGGGCGGGTTGGGGTCAGGGAGTAGGGGTGTGTGTGTGCTATAGATAATTAGAAACATGCTCTACTGAGCCAGCAGGCACCACCAGGACTGGCTCTGTCCTCACTGCCCCCCTGTCTTCCCCACATCTCTAATCCCCTTCCCCACAACCTAGACAATTCCAGCCAGGCCAGGGGAGGGGCTGGTGGGGCCTGGGAGTGAGTAGAAACCCGGTGGGGCTGGCTTCCCAGGCCCTTACACACACTCTGAAGTGCAAACAACATATTTTCGCCATGCAATGGTATTTAATTACACATAAAAACAGAGCCATTAAACTGAAATTAAACCCGTTTTGGAACCACTTAATTCAGGGCATGACAAATTGCTTTCAGCAGAGGCGGCAGTGAAGTCCCCTCAGGCAGAAACGGAGATCAGCTGCTTCCCCGGCTGGTGGGGGGAGTGAGGGGGTGGGGGTGGGGGCTGTTCTCCTGGCCCCCTTGCCAGCTCTAAATTCTGAAATTGGGGTCAGAACGTTCTTTGTAAAGACCACCCAGGCCAAGGGGAGGTCTCCAGGTTTGTTTAGGATAAGAATGGGGGTTGGGTAATCACAGATTCACTGAACAACCCACTTTTATTTAAAAAAAATATTTTTATTGATTTCAGAGAGGAAGGGAGAGGGAGAGAGAGATAGAAACATCAATGATGAGAGAGAATCACTGATTGGCTGCCTCCTGCATACCCTACACGGGATTGAGCCCGAAACCCAGGGTACATTGACCTGGAATGGTACTGTGACCTCTTGGTTCATAGATTGCCGCCTAACCACCAAGCCACGCCCACACCAGCTGGGCTGTTGGACCCACTTTTAGACAACTCGGTCCATCTTATCGATGGGGAGGTTGAGGCCCAGATGCCAAGCTCATTGAGAGCCAGGATTCGAACTCTGGTGCTAAGACAGGACCAGGGAGGCTTTTATTTTCAGGTTTGTATCCTTTTCCCTGGGCCTCGAGACAGAGGTCGGGTCTGGGAGGGTGAGGGTTGGGGAATCAGAGCAGGGCCTGGTCAAGGAGGGTAGATTTCTCCAGAACTGGGCTCCCACCTGGTCCAAGCCTGGAGACAGCAGAGAAGGCAAGGTGGGGGCCCTGGGGCATGGGGCTGCTGAGGCAGCCCTGA